CCCAAAAAGTAACCTTAAATATATTCTGTGTCTATGAAATTTAAGCAGGAGTTTATATGCATAAAATTTCCGTCTGGAGGCTTTCATAGACAATATTTTCTGCAACTTTAAACCAAGAAGTTCAAGATTCATTCTATATGGTTTAAGTGCAATAAAATTTTCTTACTTTTTATGCTACTAATTCTTAATAGGAGATACTCAGAACTTGTCCTTTTAATGTATTGTACTAATTATTAATGACTATTTTCTTTCAGAAACACTATACAAAATATTGTGGATTCTTTTTTACACATCTTATTTTTATTCCAAACTATGTCAAACAAGTATAAACTTTACTACTTTCTGCTTACAAATTTCCCCTTATAACATTAACTTTTATCCTGCTTCTCAAACATATTCATATTATATTTCCGATTTCTTTATCGAAAACTGAACGCACACTTATAAGGTGTTTCTCCCACCTTCTTAGCATGTCTTCGTGGTGTGGTGATCTGCACGCTGGGGGCGGTTCGATTTCCGGCGAATGCGTTGCTAATTTTTCATTTCTCCTGCTTCCAAAATTACCTTTACAGTGAACCATTTCCTTTACAGTGAAATTTGATTCTTTGCCAAATAGTGAAAGATTTACTATTTTTCGCTTCCTTTCGATTCTGTTATTAGCTTGACTTTAGATCTTTCATCCATACACATTTATTTCCGTTTGGCAAGCATACAAAAATACTTTTAACTTTAACACATATTTCACAAAAATATTTACAATTGCTTTATTTGACTTTACGAAAAACAATTTCAAATCATTTATATTCAACAAAATTGCCTGTAAAACATGCAAAAATTTCCTAAACTCAGTCTCTGAGACTAAAGTAAACACCTTGTTCATATCTTAACTTAAAAATACACTGCTATAAATGATTAAAGCGTCTTGCTCAATGCAAAAATAAAATTGTTCTCTATCGAGCCAAGAACTAAAAGAAAAATTTCCAGCAAACTCCGTATTTAGAATTAAAATAAAACTTAAATAATCTCCGCTTACCTTTTGTTTGTTGAAGTCAGCCATTCTTTTCTGAAAAAACTGTTTTCAAGAGGGAAATTTTCCTGATCTGTTGCACCCGCAGTCACTGCCATGGTCCGCCGCTGCCCTCCATGTCCATCGGCTCTTTTCGTTTTAGAAGCAGCTCTTTTTTTCCCCAAACCACCTTCTTCTGGCGTTGATTAGGGCATGTAGCTGCTGGCTGCTTCTGGGCTCTGGCCTTCGACGTTTGTTGTTCTGTAGAGGAATTACTCACCTGGTTCTTCGGAGAATTCTGCTGTTTCCGAAGAAATTTCTTGAGCTGGGATTGTGGTTCCTCCAACGGCTGATTCCATGGTGAAATCTGCTCTACCAGCCGGTTGATGACCTTCTTTCTTGGCACCTGTAATCCGGATCGCTGGTTCCTTGATTGGCGTTGTTTGTTCTTCACCCGCTCGCTGCGTCTTGTAGGGGGTCTCATTCTGCTTCCGTTTCTTATCGACCTGCTCCTCTTTCTTGCTGGCCCCCGTTTGTTCATACTGTTTCCTTTAGACTCCTCATGCTTGAGTTTTTGACGTCTGTCTCTCCCACATTGGCCTCCTTCCTTTCTTTTCTTTTCTAGAATCACCATTTTTGACGTAGAAGTTCTTTGGCGTTGGTGCTTCCTTTCTACCAAAAGTTGACTCTTGAAAAATATCTCTAAAAGTATATATATCAGAGCAGTCGTAGTATGTTTTCATTTGGTCCACGTTTGATGTCATAATCTCCCCGTTATTTCCTTTTAGGTTATATATCGTGCCACAAATTCTTGGTATAATGAACACTTCTCGAATTTTGTACAGAATTAAGCCACTTTTTCTTGGGGGGGTGTAAGACAACAAATGTTTTATTTTAAGTACTTTGTCCCCGGTTGTAAAGTGACCAATCCTTTCTTTTCCGATTGTACTATAGTTTCCGTTCTGCTCTTGCAGTATTTTTTACTCTTTATATTTAATTATGAATAATATACAGTTCAGCATAACCAAATGTTCAGAATACTTAACTGAATTCAAATCCGAATTCTATTTTAAAGTCTTGTGAAATCAATTTGAAACATACTTCTCAAATAACAAAGATATGGAAATTTTTAACAGAAAACGATAAAAATATCAAAATCAAAACTGACATCTGATTCATAAAAAAGAATAACTCATTATGATAGTAAAGAAAATTTACTGGCTGAAGCAAAAAATTCTATAAGCTTCATTAAAATTTTGCCACAGTTTATATCAAGCTGTGTATCTAAGCATTTTACAAAAGGAGAGATACGAAGAACCTATTCTAATTAAATTTAACATATACACAGCAAGTATTATTACTAGTAATATGATTATTTTTCTAAGGGGGAGGGACTAAAAAATATCTTCAAAGTAATCATTCATAAAAAGTAGTAGAAGCCTTACAGCATGAAAGCTGTAAATTAATTTTATAATTTGAGGAATAAAATACAATCATTAGTGAGCAGAATATTATAATGTTGATAATAATGCAATCCATCACATTAAAAACATAAAAATTTTTTCATCCGCTAGTAAGCTTAGACGTCTAGCTATTCCATAAGTGTTTACATTTGGAACTGCTAAAATGGAGAAGCAGCGCCATCTAGTGTACGCGACATTTTAGGACCGTTTTTTACTAGGCAGTTTCACCTCCCTCATTATGCTCCATACCCTAAACCGCGGAGTGCCCTAAACTTTCGCGAGCTAATGTAGCTCCCTCTAGTGTGCATCATGACAACCAATTATGCAATTTTCTGCTCATTGAGATATTTTTCTGATGTGGAGGTACATGGTTTTGAACCATAGGCACTCCGTAACTTATTATCATTGACATTGGCTTTTACTCATAGATAACAACGGTTAATTATTGGGAGGAAAATCACGACTGCGGTAGCGGAAGTCACGCATTTGAATTTGATTCAACCAAGGAGGTTAGAATATTCTAACCCCCTTGGATTCAACGTTAAAACTTGCACCAAAAATTATTTGGCGATTGGCAACAAATTTGGGCGACTTATGACGCAATGCTTGCGAAAAACGTAATGGAAGAGTAAATGTTTTGAAGTAGAAAAGGGGGGGGGGGGTTAGTGACGCAACAGAAGTAATGTGCGTCTAGTTTTTGTCTTAGTACACAAAAAGGTATATGAATATAATTTGTTTGAAGGTGAATATTCATGGTGCTAAGGTTAATTCCGTGTATGTTATTATTGCATAAATGTTGTTTATTTTTAAATATAGCCTTTTTAATTTCATGTTTTTTTGTTTTGGGTTATGCATTATCACTGTAATGCAGCCACTATCCTGGAAAGCTGTGAAATTATAGTTATACAGTGGTTTACATTTTATATGTTTATGAATTTATTCCCGTTTTCATTTAGTGCTTTTCTATCATAAAGTATTTTGAGGTCTCTTTTATATGTATAACGATTAACATCAATTGTTTGGCGGCTTTATGTATATCATAGTAACGCAATAATAATAAATAGAGTATAATTTCTTACTATTCTGCGTATGATACTTGTGTTTATAAATTTGTAACTTTCATTCGTGCGATGTACGGTTCTTTCAGGAAATCTAACAACTGCTAGTCATTTAACTTTCGTGATTTATTATTATTTCTGAAGTCACTTTTATTTAATACTTTCTAATAAGGTCTACTTCCAGTTTCTAGACATATGACAGGTGTAATTGCTTAATAAATTTACAGATATTCGAAGACTGAATGCGCTTTGAAAACTGCTTTGAGTTGTTTTTGGTTAGATAGACTCATACGGTTAAAGCAGACTTGTGTTCATCGAAAACATGCTGTAATTTCCATTAAAAAAATTTAACAAAAAAGGATTTGTGTGTGTAGTTTTTATTACCTTTCCCCAAAGAAAATATTTTTTGGAGTTTCTGAAAGTAATGCTATGTTAAGCCGTTCAGAGACATTTATTGTAATATCAGGGAACTGGACTTTTTTTTTAATTAAGTATGCTTTGACTGATTCAGTAAAGAATTGTGTTTTATTATTTACTCAAACTTTCAATTAAAAAAAAAAGTCTTTTATAGTTCTATACTTTAATAGCTAGTAACTTAAGTGTAAATTGCTAGGTAAGGAAATGTACATTTTTAGAGCTTGTCTTAATAGGTTGGTAGAAAAGATCTTTTCAAGGTTGTATAGAGACCTAATTTTAAAGTAAGAATGAGTCTTTGAAAATGTAGTGTAATGTGTGGTGTCACAGGAGGTAAAGCAAAATTGTTTAAACTTTTACAAAAGATCTAAATTAGCACTTTTTTCACTTAACACGAGAAACCAGAAGAGGAGGTTTCACTTTTTATGAAAAAAGGAGGAAAACAAAAGTTTAATTTGGTGTTTGTTTTGTGCAGTAATTGCAAAAAACTACAGCTTGTTGTAATACAGTATAATGCTACATCATAATTAGTCATGCTTTTATAAGTTTAAAGCTGCTTCTGCAAGCTATTTTGATTTTGCATGAAGAACTTTAAGGTATCTAAAACGTGTCATTGTTAAGAGCCAAGTATACTGACTAAGTCAGAACCCTGCAAATTATTACTTTTAAACTTTAGGCACTGTGCTCTTACAAAGATAAATTATAATAAGATACAATAGAATTCTGATTATCAGCATAGGTAGGAACTGAGGCCTTTTCAGATTATGAATAATGTCTTTCTCAATTTTGTTTACATTTTTTCCCTTTCTTGTTTTCTATTAAATGTGGACCATTTGCACATACATAATTAAGAAAAACACATTCATGTCTGAAGAATTATCAGTGCTTTCTGATTTTCCACAACCGAACAAAAAGTGTCAACTTATTGTTAAATTGGCAAAAAATGGTTTTTTTGGTTAATTTTATGGATCACTGTTGTTCTGTTCATAAATGATAATAAAAATAAGTATTTAATAAGGAAAAAAATGTAAAGAGGAAAAGCAGCTTTTTTCTTTTCAGCCGGTGGATGTTATTCTGCAAAAAGTCTGTTGGATGTAAAATGAATTCACCTGTTAGATGTAAAAAGGAGGAGTGAAAAGGAGTAAAAAGGAGGACCGAAAAGAGGAGTGAATTCATGCAAGAACATGTATGCTACATGGTAACTCGAAAAGGAGCCAAAGACAAAGCAATTTTGCTGAATGTTAAAACCACAGTTGCAGATAGTCAGAAAACATCAGATTATGTGAAGAAGCTTTATTGAATATAAAACTAGTTTTTTTGGGGGGGAAGGAAAATTATATCTGTACAGGGAAAAGATGCATTGAAGAAGTAAAATAAGGAAATATTTGAACAAATAAAAAACTTAAAATTAGATAAAACAAAAACTTGTGTTCGATATAGATTTTAATTGAGACTTGATTGATTTCGAGGGCAAACAGGTACAGGTTTCTTTTCATCAGCAACAAAAAATTCTGAAGAGAAAGGAGCTAATCTTTAGAATATGGTAACAGGTAGTTTGGCGACATTTTGGTAAGGCGATAAAGGTTACTAGCTAGGACTTTTAGCAATAATCTGAAACGTACACAGTTCGAATCACAGATTATTTTGTCTCAGAGAAATGAGACAGGTCATGTGACATTTTCCAGAAAATTCCAATCATGATTTTAGCTAATAAGCACTTAGAAACAATTTCGCTACTAAAGTGCAGAATCGCTCACTTATTTGTTTGGCGCTTTTTACAAGAATAAGAAGAATTGGATTTTTTCAATTTTCTTTGACTTTTTAAGTGAAAATAAGTTGATGTGTACATAGATAAAGTCGAGAGTGTACGCAATGCCATTTTTGTGCAATTCTGGGATGTTTTTTTGAATGAAAATAGGTCGACGTGTACATGGATACTGTGTATGTGCAATTCTTAAATACGCGGCATGCAGTTTGCGATTCTGCACTTTCAATTTCGAACCTAATCTTCACCATGATTAAGCATTTTTGTTCCATAAAAGTTCTAGTGTAAGCGTAATTCGGCTAGCAGATTGTTGGAAAAAATGTTGAGTTAAAAAAAAAAAAAAATGCCTTTACGTCGTGAAAACTAGCAGGTTGCTGTATCAGGGTTGGTCGCCAAGTTACCATAATGTAAAGATTCACCGAAAGGAGGAGCCACAGATATATGTATTCCAAAAACAAAGGGTAGAGCAAATCAAACACAAGTGTATAATCCCATCTGTCCAAGGAAATAGTAAAGAAACATGAAAAATTAAGATGTTAGAATTTTAAAAGTATAGGAAAGGACTGGACTGGAAGTAATGTCATTAATTAATCAAGGTAAATTTTTGTGAATGGGAAATTCTTCAAGAAAATCCGTTTCACCAACTGAAGAAGCTTTATGGATTATTTTTGCAAGATTAAATTTCTAGCTATGATAAGCTACAAATTCCCCTCCCTCTTCTTTTCTGACATAAGATTTCCTTTTTTTTTTTTTTTTTTTTTTGGCTTGATGGGAAATTTAATGCAGTTTTAGTTTGGTTAATATATCTCAAACCACACTGACAAGATATGCTGTAATTCCCCAAACATTAAATTCAGAGATGGACCTTTTTAAGAATTGAACAAAGGATTTTATTGATAGGTAAGAAAATGACTTCAAAGTGGAACTTCTGGAGAATACATGCAATTTTATAGCTGATAGTAGGATGAAATGGAATGATGACAAGGTTGTTAATATTATATCTGTCTAACAGCAGAATGTCTTCTTTAATGTTGAGGTGAAAATGTTTTAAAGGCTTTATCAGTGACAATGGGAGAAAATCCTCTGTCATTGGTAACTGGTTTCAAATAATTAAGTTTATTAGAAAACAAAGCTTCTGAGGAACAAACTTTGACAGTATGATATATATAGAAGAGTAAAAAGAAGCCATTTTTTGCCTAGCCAGGTGACATGATTCAGCATGGGAAGGCAAACGGAGAGAAAAAGGTTTACTGTAAGCAGGTAGAGCTGAATCAGATTTATGGTAAAAGTATAGTTTAGGGTACCCATTGGCGATTTTTGGCGGTACATGGATACCGATTTTGTGCAATTCTTTGACTCTTTATTTTGGGGGAAAAAAAAAAAAAAAAAAACCAAATTGCACAAAAATAGCATTGTGCACTCCTTTGACTTTATCCGTGAACACGTTGACCTATTTTCACTTCCAAAATACACAAAAATGGCATTGTGCACTCTTTTAACTTTGTCCATGTACACATCGACCTATTTTCACTTAAAAAAAATCCCAGAATTGCACAAACTTGCATTGCGCACTCTTTACTTTGTCCATGTACACTTCGATATATTTTCACTTAAAAAGTCAAAGGAGAACCAAATTCTACAATATAGGCAAACAAAAAATACATAATCTCAGTAAAATGCATTTTAAACCAAACAATAAAATAACATAAAAAAAGAAAAACATGTTATACATTTAAGCACTACCAAAAGCAAATATTCACTTACCATGATTTTCGAGTTCGCTTTGTACACCCAGAGCCACGTAAAAATCAAAATATCAGTCATACTCAAATGACTTTTTTAAAACCAGGTACTCTTTCTGATCGAACGCTTCACACAGTGACCATCTGAACCTTACTTCCTACAAACCCATTCAAACCCATCTAAACTGTTTTTACATTTGACTAGACGCATATCCTTCCTACATACAGGACACTTATAATGGCTACTAAGTAAACCTTCATTTACTTACCAGTCTATTAAAGCTCTTTTCCCCTTTCGCTCCAAATCGTACAGAAACTTCAAATTAATCTTACTACATTCAGCCATTCTACCGTCTAAAGAGAATCCAGAGATGAAAATGTAGTTTCTGAAATAATTTGACATTGAAATAGTACATGTAAATGTCAGCAAATGCACCACTGAAGGTGTTAACCATACCTAATTCTTCATTTCAACAATAATATTTATTTTGGAAAATGAACTGGCTTTCACTCAAATTTTAGTGACAGAAATTAACTACTCAATATCAGTAAGTGTGAAACTGTATTCTCAAAGCTTTGATTTTGAAACATCTTATATTAGAGCTCCTTCAAGTGAAACATTTATAAACAATTATTTAACATCAAAAGAAACCATAATTGAGCTGCTGGGAGAAATATCTTTCGAGGTTTTCATTGACTTTAAAAGAATTTTTTACAGTATAAAGAAAAATATAAGGAAAAATCTAGAAACTAAATATTTGGCCAAAAGATGTGATGCTGTTCCTAAGTTAAAAACAGTAGGTCAAAAAGGAACTCTAATTTTTGAGTAGATTTTTTTAAAACTGAGTTGCAAGTATATAAGAAGATTTAGTAGCTGTTATAGCTTTCATAAGGTTTATAAGTTGAAGATTGTTCAGGAATTTAGCAGTATGGGCGTTCAGGTTTGCGATTCCGTCAATGTATGCGTGTTTGTCCATAACAACAATCTGTCTGTCTTTATCAGTTCTTTTCCTTTCTTTGCCAAATTTTTTGCTTCCAGTGAAGAAGGACATGTACCTGTTAACCCTCGAAATCAATAGTCTCAATTAAAATCTATGCCAGACTCATTTTGCCTAATTTTAAGTTTGACAAGTTTCTTGACATAAATCTTTTTGTAAACATGCATCAAAGAATATTATGCAAAACAAAAATTATGTCTACTACAAAATTGCTTTGAGAGGTATTTTTATTCTGTTAAATGACACAAATATATTGTTTAAGGAAACCTTAGCTGTAAGGATTTTTGTAAATTCACTCTGTATGTTAATTCCGCTATTATCTTCTATGCATGTGCTATTAGATTAATGATACTGCAGAAAGTGCTAGAAATCTCGGGGAAAGTGCAGAATCACCGACTGCTTGGCACGCTTTTAAGAATTGCACAAACTCTGTATTCATATATCCATCGACTTATTTTCACCTAAAAAAAAAATCTCAGAATTGCACAAAATTGGCATTGCGCATTCCCTTGACTTTATCATGTACATATTGACCTATTTTCGCTTAAAATGTCATAGAAAATTGACAAAAATCCAATTCTTCTTACTCTTGTAAAAAGCAGTAAACAACCGCCAAACAAATAAGTAGGCGATTCAGCACTTTACCCCTCTCCATTCTTTAACCTTTTTTTTTCTTTAGTTTTTTTTCCATTTTTAATCCGCTGGTAATTCGACTTAGGTTTTCCATTTCGTGCAAATGAGCTGACTGTATTGACATTGTCGTAGTTTTTCCCATGTGGTGTAATATTGAAATGAGCCAGTTTTACTTAGAAAGTCCTCTGCAAAGACATCTATAAATAATAGCAGAAAAACAAAAAGTTACGGATGCCTTTTTAAATCGCTCAAATGAGCTACGAGTTCTCCACATGAATGACTACAACACTAGTAAAAATTAATAACTAATTATTAAGTTAAATGTAGCTTAAAATTAGCATTGCTAACAAGGAAAATCCAAGTAAGTATAGCACTACATTCTATCAACATTAGAATTCAACAACCAGCATTGGTTCCATAACAGGGAAAAGTGAAACAAGAACGTAAGTTGAAAATCATAGGTGAAGTACAGTACAAAGTCTGGGAACTTCACTTATATGTGCCCTCAAGTCGCCAAATTTCTCATCAAACATTTTTGGCGAAACATTTTTCTAAATTTTTTGTCTACATTTCAAACTTTAAGCCTAAAATGTCTTCAAAAATGTGGTTTTTGCACATGCAAAAAGCAAGTTTTGAACACACAATTTAAGCTAAAAATCTGAAACAAAAACAAAATATTTAGATAGCAAAAACATAAAGTTTCTAACCAAAAATATTTGACAAGAATCCATGTACACAGTGATATATTTTAACTTAAAAAAAATCTACGAATTGCACAATCTAGGCAGCGAAAGAATCTATGAACTACGCACACCTAGCTTTAATAAATTAACATAACAATAAATTTCAACAAATACCATGTACACAGCGTTCTGTTTCAACTTTGAAAAACATCTACGAATTGCACAATCTAGGCACTATGCACTAGTCAACAAAATAAACTAAAATAACTAAAACAAATTTCAAACAATTAAAAAAAACAACAATAACGACAGAAATTTATACTAAAAAATACAATGAACATAGCATTCTACAAAATAAGAACAAGAATAAAATAAAA